GAAGGGTCACCGGACCCGAAACGTTAACTCTGTTTTCTCCTTCACAGATGCTGCCAGACCTGCTGAGCTTTTCCAGCAACTTTGTTTTTGTTCCTGATTTACAGCATCCGCAGTTCTTTTGGTTTTGTTTTTAGAAACAAGTTATCCTCAATTAAGACTCTTCAAAGTTAAAGGAAGATCAGGGCAAATGCTGATTGTGTTCTGTTGGACATATTTAATCCTGTCAAATGTGACTCCAAGGAGGAAGAAACCAAATTCCATGAGACCATTAGAAGTAGGAACAGGAGTAGGCCGTTCAGCCCCTTGAGCCTGCTCTGCCATGCCACAGGATCAAGGCTGATCCGTCACTCCTTATGTCCACTTTCGTGCCCTTTTCCTCATAACCCTTGATTCATCGACTGATCATGAATCTATCTCAGCCTTAAATCTACACAAGGACTCTGCCTCCATAGCTGTGTGTGGCAAGGAGTTCCAAAGACTCACAACCCTCTCAATTATATCACAGCTTTTAAGACCTGTGCAAAATCTATGATAGTTGTCACTTTATAGAAAAAAGATTGAAGTATATTAATAAATTTTCTGTCAATTAGAATTGGAACCCAATTCTATAATTAAAAAAATACTATGAGCAATATGACAAAAACACAGAAACTCAGCAGGTCTGGCAACATCTGTGGAAAGAGAAACAGAGTTAATGTTTTGAATCCAATGTCACTCTTCTTCAGAACATTAATTGTACATCCTTGTCTGGTATGGTTAGAAAAATTCATTAATTGATTCAGACAAGTATCAATTGTAGGCATAAAAAAATGTTCAAGGCTTCTGTTGTGGTTTCAAAGAAAGAACACAAGAGATTGGATGCACTGCAGCGACCTAAAAATACATCTTTACAACTTTCATCATATGACATTGGTGAGGTTTGTACGTGAAAATAATTGATACCATCTCTAATAGTCAGCTACTTCACCTGTATGTGGGATTAACAGGGTCTGGTATTAATGAGAGCCAAAATGGAATCAAAAAAAGCCCTTGAGATAAAAAAATGTTCTTAAGTGAAGATAAACCAACAACATGGGCAAGATTTCCAGCCCTTCCAAAGTTAGGAACAGTGACAGACCGGGCCTGAAAATAGTGTCTTTGGCATCTATGCCAGTTTCCAAACACTGTTCCCATGGCTAACTATTTATGGAGATTTCAGATCGCAGCCTGGCAATGTGCCTAGCCCCCATCAGATTGGCAGCCATTTAGGCTCATCAAGAGCTTTGTTAACGAGAATCAAAAGGAAATCAACTGGTATTTTCCAGTTAGCCTCCAGTTTCCCAACATGATGGAAAGAAGGCTGATACCCAGTGGTAAGTGAGCCGAGTGTGAAATGGGCAGCACTCCAGCAAAACAACAGTCATTCCGGCTTGCCTGGTGTAGGGCAGCCAAAGATTCCTCAATTGCCTCTCCTCACAGGCCAATGACCCCAATGTGCTGTCCTGCCTGCCTGTTTCTGTATCTTAAACAGATTTTCAAAAACGTTGGCATAAGTACACTTTCATATTGATCCAACGAAATGCTGCAGCCAACTGTGGTGAGTAACTCAACTCCTGACTCCCCAAAGCCTGTCCACCATCTACACGGCACAAGTCGGGAGTGTGATGGAATACTCCCCACTTGCCTGGATGAGTGCAGCCCCAACAACACCCAAGAAGCTTGACACCATCCAGGACAAAGCAGCCGCTTGATTGGCACTACATCTACAAGCATCCACTCCCTCCACCGCCGACGCTCAGTAGCAGCAGTGTGTACTATCTACAAGATGCACTTCAAAAATTCACCAAAGATCCTCAGACACCACCTTTCAAACCCACGACCACTTCCATCTAGAAGGACAAGGGCAGTAGACATAAGGTAACACCATTACCATCAAGCCACCCACCATCCTGACTTGGAAATATATCGCTATTCCTTCACTGTTGCTGGGTCACAATCCTGGAATTCCCTCCCTAATAGCATTGTGGGTTAATGCGCAGCATGAGGACTGCAGTGGTTCAAGAAGGCAGCTCACCACCACCTTCTCAATGGCAACTAGGGACGGGCAAGAAATGCTGGCCCAGCCAGCGACAGCCACATCCCATGTCATGAATAGAAAATAAAACTTCTCTTCAGGAACTGGAAAACCTCTGACTAGCTATCCAACATCAAGGGCCTGGACTACCACCTTTAGTGTGGCAGGGTACCTGTCTCCTTGGCAGTTAAAGGGCACCCAGTCAGAATTCCAGATATTGTCTGTTTCTTCCTATTTCCTGTCCCCAAAGCAAAAAGAAACTTCATAGAACCAAAAGTGAAAAGCTTTACCACAGAGGGTTTGAGCTATTGGGAGAGGCTGAATAGGCTGAGACTGTTTTCCCTGCAGCGTCAGAGGTTGAGCGGTAATGTTATAGAGGTTTATAAAATCATGAAGGACATGGATAGTGTAAATAGTCAAGGTCTTTACCCCAGAGTAGGGGAGTCCAAAACTAGAGTGCATAGGTTTAAGGTGAGACAAGAAAGATTTAAAAGGGACCTAAGGGGCAAAAGTTTTTTTTACACAGAGTGTGGTGCGAGTACAGAATGAAGTGGTGGAGGCTGGCACAATGACAACATTTAAATGGCATCTGGGTGGGTTTAGAGGAATATCAACCAAGTGCTGGAAAATGGGACTAGATTAATATGGGATACCTAGTCTGCATGGATGAGTTGGACATAAGGGTCTGTTTCTGTGCTGTATAGCTCAATGACTCTATGACTGTTGAGGCAGGGCCAAATATATTCAAGGCTGAGATAGATTTTTAATCAGGAAGGGAATCAAGAGTCATGGGGAAAACGCAGGAAGATGGAGGTTAGGATCATCATATCAGCCACAATCTCAAGGAATTGCACATTAGACTTGAACAACTGAATAACCTACTCCTGCTCCTATGATCTTATGTTTCTCCCATTGGTGTCAGCCTTTTAGCTATACTGACACTATATTTAGGCATTTTCTTTGGAAGCTCTGGCAGTTATCTGTCAATCATCATTAACTGGCATATTCTCCGTGGCAATACCTTTATCAATCTATTTGCCAACCAATCAGGAGGCTCCTCTAAAACAGTAGAAATGCTGTTTTCCCTTGTGTCTGGTGATTCTAATGAATTATCCTGATGAGTGGAAGACAAAAAGCTTTGATAAAATGTGTCTGTTTTCAGCTTTACTCAAGTTGTGTTTTACCAAATGACAATTTAGTCTTCTGCAGTTGTAAATGTTGTTTCACCACTTTTTCAGCACGGCCAGTGGGACTATCGGTAACAGCTGTCCTGAAAGACAGTCTGCTGGCTGGGCTTTCCTGACCAATATTCAGGGTAATATCCAACATTCTATTTAAGGAGATGATTTGTTTTGTGGATTGTTAAATGAGCTTAGCAGCAGTCTGTCATAACTTATTATTTCAAACCCACTTCCGTACAAATAGAGGTGAAAATATAAGATGCTCTGTGTAATGGAGTCCATATCTGTGTACAAATTGTATTGCTGTATCAGTGTTCATGATCTGCTTGCTGTTGCAATGATTATAAAGTGTTGTCTGTCATGTTGTTCTGCACAAGAACTGCATCCAAGACAATTGGGTTTGCACCCATGACCAGCAGGGCTATATTGTCAGGGTTGAAATAGGCATTTGTGCAACTTACTGGCAACTATTGTTAGATCTGGTATGCAGCCGTGTGATTTAGTCCACTCCAACTTGATGGTCTCCCCTTACAAATCTTGTAAGGTGGCAGAGACACAGCGAGGTCAGGAGGCAGCACGAACAGCACATTTGTAGGATCCGCAACTTTTGAAAAAGCATCAGAGCTTCTTTGTAGATCAGGTGATACTCCTTCACCACTGAACACATGGCTGAAGAATTCTACTCTGCTTTCACTGAACAAGTACCTGCCTTTGGTTAGGGTGAAGTTACATTCTCCAAGGCACGAAAGCCATGCCACAAGTTCGCTTTCAGCGTGACCATTGTTGAGTTTGAACATTAATGACAATCTTCCTTCATGTCCTCAGAGTGTAGATGAAATCATGCACTGACATACTTCTGTTACTGAACTGCCTCCAAAGCTGGAGTCCCTTATTTTGAAGTTCAATGCGAGAGGAGAATGCAAGAAATAAAGAGCAGGAGTTAACCATTTGGTCCCTCAAGGCTGCCCCACCAATAACAAGATCATGGCTAATCTAACGTCAGCTTCACATCCTCTTTCATTTCCCATCATGATGTGGAGGTATCTTCTGACTTTGTCCATTCCAGATCATAGCATCAATTCCCCAACGCAGCAAACTTTAGTTTAACCGGCACTCATCACCTGGCACTCTCCATAAATCATTAAAAATTACATACCAGATGTTTATGGTATTATTCTGTCCCATTATAGCTTTTTCAAAAATGTATTTACCTCAATGTAAATGTACTTGTTCAATCAAATAGCCACACGAAATATCAACAATTCATTCAATTTCAAGTCAATTTCTCCTCAAATACTGTGATTTATCACAATGTCAGAGTGGAGGGTGAAAGTCAGAAGGCTCTCTGTCAGTAAGCTTTATTTGATAAACGATGATTTATTGTTACAAGGAACAGCCCAGTAAAAAATAGCGAAAAGCTTCAACTGTTGCCACAGTCCGGCTTCATTTGAATATTTTAAGAACAAAAAGATAAAGCTGAAAGAAAGTCCATCTTCGCTCGGCTGTCTCCACCACGAGTCCTGAGCTGGCTGACCAACCACACCTACACCGCCAATCTGCTGCTGGATGCAATGTTGGAGTCGCCATTGCATCATCACTGAGTCCACCTCCCCAGTGGGCCACTGATGCCAGGTCCTGTGCTGGACCCACACTCGCCCCAGCTCCACTGCCACCACCTTGCTGATAACCAGGAGACCGTGACTCTGGGCCTACCGCAACCAGGAGCTGCTGCCATTGCCATGCCGATACACAGGAGCCCCTCCTCCAGGCCTACTGCAACCAGCAGCCCTTGGCTCTGCCCCAGGCCAGGCTACTACCTCGCCAAGAGTCCCACTCTGGCTGCTCTCCACCTCAATGTCACCTTCTCTGCTGTCGAGATAAAAATGAAGTAAAAAGAAGAAAGAAAACTAAAAGGGCAATGGCTGAAGGAATCGGGTGTCTGGAGCAGATGGACCCAGGACACCTTACCAGCACAAACAACTTGGAAGGCAAGGGTGCATTATTTAAGTGATTTAAGCTGTAAATAAGGTACAACAGTGATGTGTATACCCCTTGCATTACATCTGTATTAGGGTGCATTTTGACACTGATCATGTGGACCTCTCAATTATCCAGGCTGTTTGGTCAACAGGCACACTCCTGGTCCCACAGGTCCAGTTAGTAAAAAGTCTGCTATATTTCAAAAAACCTATTTACCTCCTCTTGAAATAGTTTGTGATCTAGCCTCCACAACTAAAAAAAAAACCAAAAGAACTGCGGATGCTGTAAATCAGGAACAAAATCAGAAGTTGCTGGAAAAGCTCAGCAGGTCTGGCAGCACCTGTGAAGGAAAAAACAGAGTTAACGTTTCGGGTCCGGTGACCTTTCCTCAGAACTGTACTGAGAAGTTCTGAGGAAGGATCACCGGACTTGAAACGTTAACGCTGTTTTCTCGTTCACAGATGCTGCCAGATTTGCTGAGCATTTCCAGAAACTTTGTTTTTGCAGCCTCCACAACTCGTTGGAATAGCGAATTCCAGACAGTTCACTACCTCCTGGGAGCAGAAATTCCTTCACATCTGTTTTAAAATCTAAGACACCACGAATTTTCTGTCAGCTGAATTTGTTGGCTGCCTGCATTGGAGGTCAAATTTCAAAGGGTGCTCAGCATCTTTCACCTTCGCTACAATCACTCATTGTCTGTATAATGTGGTTCTTGGTGTATGGCCTGGTTTGATGACAACTGCCTCCTTTTTTTATTCACCTGCCCCCTCAGCTGGTGACAACAAGTTTAATTTGAAAAGCCTCACTTCCCTTGCGGATATGTTTCTTCCAGATTAAAGGAAATTATGTTTTAAAATGAGACATTTTAACCGGGCCTTTTTTAGAATGCATTTATTTTGTTGCTAACTGCAAGGATAAACCATAATACAATATATCTACGTACAGATTAAGAAAAGGAAGGGAGTCTAAAGAGAGTTTAATAAAATGAAACAAAAAGATAAACAGATCAATCAGTCTCTATTCTTCACAAAAAATGAATGAGTGAGTGATTGAGACCCATGCGGCAAATTCATCCCCAGCTTCGTCAACAACATCAAGGTCAAGTAAACACTGAAGTTTCCTTCTTTATCTGAGCTGACACCAATCCTAATCATCTCTGTTGATGCACGACTGGAAGCGCATTAGAGATTGCAATGTACATGCAACACTTTGCTGATACCAAGGAAGTGGGCAGTCTGTAATTGAAGGATATTGTTGGCATATTCAGGGAAAGTGTACATGATTGCAATGAAGGGTCTAGGCCCGAAACGTCAGCCTTCCTGCTCCTCTGATGCTGCTTGACCTGCTGTGTTCATCCAGCTCTACACCTTGTTATCTCAGATTCTCCAGCATCTGCAGTTCCTACTATCTGTGATTGCAATTGTGTCCAGATTTGTTGTATTGTGGAAACCGCTCAGTTGTTCCATTCTCCAAGTGAATCCCAGAATGCAGCCTTTGTTCTTGTCTATGAATGAGACTTTAGTTTTCAAGGTTCCAAAAACTTTGAGCTTTGTGACCGTAAAAGGAATATTTTCATATTCCTAGGGATAACAAGGTGTGGAGCTGGAGGAACACAGCAGGCCAGGCAGCATCAGAGGAGCAGGAAAGCTGACATTTCGGGTCTGGACCCTTCTTCAGAAATCGGAGTGGGGGAGGGGGCTCTGAAATAAATAGAGTGGGGGGCTCGGTAATAGAAGGAGAATACCGGAGCAGACAGGTGGGAGAGAAGACGGACAGGTCAAGGAGGCGGGGATGAAGCTAGTAAATGTGAGTGTAGGTAGGAAGTGGGGGTGGGGGTTGGTCAGTGAGGAGGGAGGAGCGGATAGGTGGGAGGGAAGATGGATAGGTCAAGGAGGTGGGGATGAGGGGGGTGCTGGTCTTGGGATGAGGTTGGGGTTGGGGAGATTTTGAAGCTAGTAAAGCCCACATTTAGGCCACTGGGTTGTAGGCTTCCAAGGCTGAAAGCTCTACACCTTGTTATCTCAGATTCTCCAGCATCTGCAGTTCCTACTATCTCTTTTCATATTCCTGCTGTGGCTAAAATGGGGCGATTTTGTTTGTTTGAGCAATTTGGCTCTCACGACATTGACAGGTACTTCTGTATCTGAAAGCTATCATATCAGAGAGTGAGCTCAAGGAAGGGGGTCACGCAATTCTCTGCAATTCTCATGATGCACCGTGCCCCTACAGCACACGCTTGCCCTATTCTGCTCTCACTAGCTACAAACATACTGGAGGGGTCACAATGCCAGCACCATATTTAAAGCTTGGCTCAGCACCACATCAAAACGCTGCCAGCCCTTCAGCGTGGGGCAGCAACATGGAAGAACAGTCCCTGAGGACACAGAGCTGACTTTTCATGGAATGGCACAAGCATAAACATACTACCTCTTTACATCAAATTGATTGTCACTGAAACTGTAGCAATGAGAATGAAGCTACAGAGGCAACCCGTCCTTAGCACCATACCATGATAGAGCCCCGAACGGATACTGGAAATCAGAAACAAACTCAAAAATGTCTGTGACAGTGCCCTGTCTGAAGGAGTGCACTCTTTCTCAATGTCCACATTGTGACTCAGAGTATCACCTGGTGGAAAACCTTCAAACAGTTGATAAAGTTAACTTCTGAAGAAGGGTCCAGACCCAAAATGTCAGCCTTCCTGCTCCTCTGATGCTGCTTGGCCTGCTGTGTTCATCCAGCTCTACACCTTGTTATCTCAGATTCTCCAGCATCTGCAGTTCCTACTATCTCTGATAAAATTAACTTTTGCTTTTTCTTTTCCTGTTGTTCAGTTAAACAGAAAAGCTGTGTTTGCTTCTGGGAACAAACAGGGGCTGCTTGCATTTTGACCAACTGCTAATGTAACAGTAAACGAATGAGGGCCTTGCCAAGCACACATCTATTATCTATTTAAGTCCTGCCTGGCTTGTACCACCTGATGCTGGACTAATCCCTGGACTGGGTGCACTGGGCCGGAGAAGAGACTGTAGCCCAATCCCTGGCCTGTAACAATATGGAACCTCTGACCAGGACTGCTCCAAGTGGCCAATAGGCTGTTTCTAAATCCCTGGACTGAGATCAGGTGATGTCCCTGACTGGGCAGAATACACCCAACTGACAATAGCTCTCCCAGACTTGAGCGAGCACTGATCTTTAGTCTGAGACATGAGCATTTGCTCGAAGCATGGGCAGTGTGTTTGCCACATGCTCCGTATAAATAACTTTTCCATCATCCTAATGGAAACTACACAGGCTCTGACAGGAAATTTTTAATTTCTCTCTGGCCACAGGGTAAGTTCCAGAGAACTGGAGAATGGCTAAATGTGGTTCCACTTTTCAAAAGAGGTGGTAAAGATGAACCAGGAAATTATACACCTGAGTCTCACGTCAGTGGCAGGGAAACTATTGGAGAAAACTCCAAAGAACAGAATTTATATCCACTTGGAAAAGCATGGGTAAATTAAGAATAGTCAGCATGGCTTTGTCAGAGGAAGGTCGTGCCTAGCAAATTCGTTAGAATTTTTCAAAACTGTGATCAACTTATGTGGATGAAGGAAGTTCTGTTGATGTAGTTTAAATGGATTTTCACAAAGCTTTTGACAAGGTACTACATAGGAGACTGATTGAGAAGGTTAAAGCACATGGAACTCAGGGAAACTTGGCGAGATGGATCAGAAACCGGAATAGTAATAGGACACAAAGGGTAGTGGTAGAAGGCTGTTCACGTGACAAGAGGTTGGTGTCCAGTGGTGTACCACAGGGATCAGTACCGGGACCTGTATTGTTTGTCATATATGTAGATTATATAGATGAAAGTGTGGGTGTGGGGGTGCAGGTGTGCACGTGGGTGGGGTATGTTAAGCAAGTTTGCAGGTGACACCAAGATTGGTAGGGTGGTGAACAGTGAAGGTGGTTGTAGGTTACAGGAAGATACAGATGAATTGGTCAGACCTGTGGCAGATGGTACTTAACCCTGAGGTGATGCACTTTAGAAAAAGAAACAAGATGAGGGAATATTTAATGAATGGTAGGACACTGGGTAGCTCAGAGGAACAGAGGGATCTTGGGATAATTATTCACAGATCCCTGAAGTCGGCAGAGCACGTGACTTGGGATAGTTAAGGGAACATAAGGGACACTTGCTTTCATCTGTCATGGTGAAGAGTACAAAAGCAAGGAGGTAATACTGGAGTTGTACTGAGCGTTAGTCAGGCCAGAGCTGGGGTACTGTATGCAGTTGTCACTACAGGAAGGATGTGATAGCACTAGTGTGGGTACAGAGGAGGTTCACGAGGATGTTGCCTGGAATGGAGAAACTGAGGTGGGAGGACAGACTAGATAGGCTCAGATTGTTTTCTTTATAGTGGAGAGGATGGGGGGGGGGGGGGGGGTACAAGACTGAGGTATATAAGATTATGAGGAGTATGGACAGGGTGAATAGGGAACAGCTGCTCCCCTTGGTTCAGGGGTAAATTGTGAGAGGGCACAGTTTTAGGGTAAGGGGAAGGAGATTCAACGAGAATTTGGGAAAAAACATTTTCACTCAGCAGGTGGTGGGAAACTTGATCCACTGCCTGGGAAGCTGGTGGAGGCCAGAAAACTTACAACCTTTAAAAAATACTTGGATGAGTACTTCAAATATCATAATATTCAAGGATATGGGACAAGTGCAGGAAATTGGGATTAGCATGTCTTTCGTGGTGGTTATTATTGGTGCAGACTCAATGCGTTGGATGACTATGATTGATCACCAACAACCATGACAAGCTACATGTGGCTGTGTCTGTGACAGGACAGTATTGAGGAAATTGATGGGATTAAAACCTGACAAGTCCCCAGAGCCTGATGTTCTGCATCCCAGTGTACTTAAGGAAATGGCCCCAGAAATAGTGGACACATTGGTGATCATTTTCCAGCATCGTATAGACTCTGGAAGAGTTCCAATGGACTGGAAGATAGCTAATGTAACCCCATTCTTATAAAAAGGAGGGAGAGAAAATGGGGAATTATAGGTAGGTTGGCCTGACATTGGTGATGGGGAAAATGCTGGAGTCAATCATTAAGGATGTAATAACTGAGCATTTGGAAAGCAGTGACAGAATCGGTCTTAGTCAGTATGAATTCACTAAAAGGAAGTCGTGCTTGACAAATCTTCTGGAATTTTTTGAGGACGTGACCAGTAGAGGAGACAAGGGTGAATCAGTAGATGTGTATCCGGACTTTCAAAAGACTTTTGACAAGGTTCCACACAAGGGATTAGTAAGGAAAATTAAAGCTCATGGTATCAGAGGTAATATATCAACATGGATAGAGAACTGATCAGCAGACAGGAAGCGGAGAGTTGGCCCTTTTCAGAGTGGCAGGCAATGACGAGTGGGATACCGCAGGGTTCAGTGCTGGGATCTCAACTGTTCACAAAATACATTAACAATTTGGTTAAAGGAATTGAATGCAATATCTCCAAATGTGTAGATGACCTTAAGTTGGGTGGCAGCGCGTGCTGTGAGGAGGATTTTTTTTTATTATAGAATCCCTACAGTGTGGAAACAGGCCCTTTGGCCCAACAAGTCCACACCAAACCTCAGAGCATCCGTCCCAGACCCATCCCCCTGTAACCCACCTAATCTACACATCCCAGAACTCCATGGGCAATTTACCTAACCTGCACATCTTTGGACTATGGGAGGAAACTGGAGCACCTGGAGGAAACCCATGCAGACACGGGAAGAACGTGCAAACTCCACACAGACAGTCGCCCAAGGATGGAATCAAACCCAGGTCCCTGGTGCTGTGAGGCAGCAGTGCTAACCACTGAGCCATCGTGCCACCCTATGCTACAGTTTGATTAAAGGAATGCTAAGGATGCTAAGAGGTTGCAGGGTAACTGGACAGACTGGTTGAGTGGGCACATGCAATATAATGTGGATAAATGATAGGTTATCCACTTTGGTCGCAAAAATAGGAAGGCAGATTATTATCTGAATGGTGGCAGGTTAGGAAAAGGTGAGGTGCAACGAGATCTGGGTGTCATAGTGGACTAGTCACTGTAGGCTGGCATGCCCAAGAGGATTTGAGTATCTGAGTAAGGATGTCTTGCTGCAGTTCTCCAGTTATACAAGGTGAGGACACACTTTGAGTATTATATGCAGTTTTGGTCTCCTAGTCTAAGAAAGGACATTCTTGCTATTGAAGGAGTCCAACAAAGGTTCACCAGACTGATTCCCAGGATGGCAGGTCTGACGTATGAGGAAAGACGGCATTGACTGGGCTTGTACTCGCTGGAATTTAGAAGAATGAGGGAGTGATCGCATAGAAACATACAAAATCCTGATGGGACTGGACTGGCTAGATGTGGGAAGAATGTTCCCGATGTTGGTGAAGTCCAGAACTAGGGGTCACAGTCTAAGAATAAGGGGAAAGCTATTTAGGACTGAGATGAGGAAGAATTTCTTCACTGAGAGAGTTGTGAACCTGTGAAATTCTCTCCCTTAGGAAGCTGTTGGGGCCAGTTCTTTAGATATATTCAAGAGGGAGCTCGACATGGCCCTTGTGGCTAAAGAGATCAAGGGGTATGGGGAGAGGGTGGGAATGGAATACTAGGATTGCATGATCAGCTATGATCACATGCAGGTTCAGAGGGGCGAATGGCCTACTCCAGCACCTATTTTCTATATTTCTAGGACAGCAGTACTGTGAAGCTGTAAGTTCTGAATGAAGCAGCAATGTGTGAAAAAGAGAAGGCAAGTAGACAAAAGCAACAACTGGAGAAACTCAGCAGGTCTGGCAGCATCTGTGGAAAGAGAAAACAGAATTAATGTTTCAAAGGCCAGGAGGGATGCAGTAAGACACAAGCTAGACACTGAGTGAGTGAGTGCCAAGAAAGCAAGCAAAAAGCTTTAGGATACATTGTCCACTGATCCATGAGCCTGACCCTGAGCACAGAGCAGCCTGGCAACAGGACTGCACTGTGTGATGTCACGGAGCTCCAAGGTGCTGTTTGTGAGTGAGTCAGAGACATGCCACATAGATGGTTGGGCTCTGCATATCCGATGCCAGCCTCTGGATGAAGGATGCAGGCAGCCCCTGCCCATGGAGCATGCCCTGAGAGACTGGCCAAGCCAGAGCTGTAGCTCCCAAGCACCCACTCAGACATCCATGTCCGGATTGTCACTGTTTAACCTGTGGAAAGTAGGAAATTGCATACGAGAGATCATCCCAGGAATCGGTCTAGTCACTATTTGCTGCACTCCCTCTTTGGCAAGTATATCTTTTAAGTACAAAAACAGAAGTTGCTGGAAAAGCTCAGCAGGTCTGGCAACATCTGTGAAGAAAAAATCCTGTTCTGAGGAAGGGTCACCGGACCCGAAACATTAACTCTGATTTCTCTTCACAGATGTTGCCAGAACTGCTGAGCTTTTCCAGCAACTTTGTTTTTGTTCCTGATTTACAGCATCTGCAGTTCTTTCGGTTTTTATATCTTTTAAGTAAGCAGATTAAAAAAGGTGTCCTACTAAACTCCTGCGGTTACACGCGTATTTGTTAACTCCCACAATAGTACCTTCCAAATCTGTGAGCTCTACCACCTAGAAGGACAAGAGCAGCAGAGCTGTTGGAACATCATCTTTGCAAGTTCCCTTCTAATCCATCTTCCATTCTAAGTTGAACCAAATCATTCATTCTTCTCTATCACAAAGTCAAGATCCTTGAATTCCCTCCCCAACAGCATTGTGTAAACCAACACCACACGAATAAAGAAGGTGGTGCTGAGTGACCTCCAGGGTAATTAGGAATGGGCATTAAAAGCTGGCTGTGTGTTTAAAAATGGAAAAACTTGGACACAACGCTCAATACAATTTTCAACACTTTGTGACAGTCTGTCTTACCTGCCTCGGGAGAAAGAGCAGTCTTGTTTTTCATGTTGAGTGATTTCAAATCCATCTGGGTTCATGGATGGCATGATGTGAATCCGAGTATTGTTTATTAGCTTGGTTATCGTGGCATCTTTATTATACATTTTAACCAGATGTTCCATCAAGTGGAGCAGTATTTCTCTGCCCACGACCTATATTAAATCACAACTGTGTTAATTCAACTATTCCTCAAAATGCTGACATTTCAGTGAAGATTCTGCTATAGGTACATAAGAGACTAACTCCAGTTACTTTCAACTCAAAATGTATGATCTCAGCTGATGGTATGTGTAGATGAGACAGGACCTAGAATAAATATGTCCTGGTTGTGGTGTATTTAGATATGACCAATTTTAAAAACAAATCTTAAAATGCCCAGCAAACAAAGTTAAAATCTATTCTCCAAAAGCATCACTTTATAGGGACTCAAATCCAAAGAATGACCACTGTCTCTCAAGTTCACATAGTTGTTTCTCCCCAGTGTTTTCCTGTGAACTGTGAAGTCTTCTTACATGAAGATTCCTAAAACAGAGCTTATACTTTCCCAGCTTCTGAATAACTTTCAGCTTTCTAACCAAACATTCCTGGTCTGATAGTTGCACAAACTAAACATTTAACATTGAGGTGACTGTGCTTTCTGAACTGTTCCAATTCCTTTCTTTAAAAAAGGAGAAAAATTGTGCTATTGAAGCCAGTCAGGTTTTCTTAAAACTGCTCCAAATCTTTTAATTTTCTAAATTAACATCAACACTGACCATCCTGAACCAAAATCAAGCTGGTTTCAATGTTTACACTTCCTATTGTCAAACCAGCACAGTACAACAAAAAATGTCTAGTAACTCTCCAGAGTATCCTGCTCTGACTCAAACTGGATTAGGTGAATGGTCCAGGACGACTGTCAAGCCTGGTTATTTGTTTTTATAAAAACAAAAACTCAGAAAATAAAACAACCCAAATGTGATCTTAAAATCAAGTCTCCAATAAAATCGTATTTAAATAAATAAAATTTGACACATTTCATCACCACATCCAACATTAAAATGGAGGGAATTTATTTTCAAACTGTTAATTCCAAGATTTAAACAAGAAAAGCAGGATTTCTTTTTAAAAGTGGAGTACAACAAAATCTGCCCAAGGTAGCAACATTAAATTCTTCAATTCCACAGGAAAGAAATGAGCAGGCGACAATCACAATGGAGAAGCTGAAGATGACATTGCTGAAGTGAATTAATAGGTTTTTGGACCAAGATACTACCCTGTCCCTCCAACACAACCCCCAATCTCACCCCTTTTATTTTCACTCCAGTGCACCATTCCTAGGAGAAATTACATAGTGATAGTAAGGCACTGAGTGATTCAAAGAACATAGAATCTCAGAACTGTTACAATGCAATTCAATTTCTTTTTAATCTAAAGCCTGAGTTAATATTTCCATTGTCCCTATGAATGTCCACCGCCTTTCATTCAGCAATGTTAGTCCTTTGCCTCTTAGCTGCAAAATTTCCTAATGTCTTCTTGTATTATATTGCATTCTTTCCAGTTATTGTCTGGCGTCTTTTGCAAATTTGGGTTACTACATCCAAATAAATTATGCAACTTAACTGTAAGAGTGGCCAGAACACTAATGCTTAAGGAACCCAACTTTTTACTTTCCTCTCAACTAAATTACAATCCATTACTCATACACTTTGCTTTCTACTTCTCATCCAAGTTGCTATCCATTTACCTATTTGCCCCTTGACTAAACTTCATAATGAGTCCACTGTGTCATCATTTATCAAAGGCCTAAAATATTTACTGCATTCCACTTGTTTACTCTATTAGCTCTTCAGAGAATTCAATCAGGTTGATTCAACATGATGTTTGAACTCCATAATAGTTAATTTTTTAAATCATATTTTCTATCCCTCGATGCTCTTCCATCACTGGTGTAGATTCCACTATCCTATCACTGACTTGCCTCTGGTTTTCAGGTTTTAGTTCTGTTCACTTTTTGTATTTGTCATTTTCATAAATGACCTGGATGAGGGCGTAGAAGGATGGGTTAGTAAATTTGCGGATGACACCAAAGT